CTAATAAAACTTTAGGTTCCTTGGGCTTAGGGACATGTCTCTGCTCCCTTTGGGGAGGGGTTACTTTAAAGCTCTGTTGGAAATCCATGGTTATCTCTAAAACATACTCATTGCTCAAAGAATCACGCGGTCCTAGGGTTTGCAGGGACCTCAAAGGTGAGCCAGCTTCGCCCTGCACCAGCTGTTGGAATCCTCTCTTGGCTGCATAGCAGACAAATTATTCCACTGTCTGGAGTCTTGTGCTAGAAATACATAGAGCAGTGGGCACACTGCCAACCAGTACAGATGTGCCCAGAGTTAGAGGTGCCTGGGTGTTTGACCCTGAACAACCAGAGAGAGAATGAGTGCAGGTGGGCCTCTCTTTAAGTGGCTCCTCTATAGGAAAGTCCATGCGTACTAACTCAATGAATCGGGACAAGGACCCTTCACTTTACCACTGAAATTCTTTAAGTAATTATGCCTTTATGTCCCTTTCAAATAAAATTTGCTGTGCAGAAATTCATTAATGCAGAGCCTTTTCAGGCTGTGTTTATAGAGTAAGGGTCAGTCACACAAGTACACAGGGGCATCTGGTTAAGTCTGGGCTCTATATCCCCAACTTTCCATCAAATGGGTGCAAAATAGACAATTCCAAAGAGAAAGCAGCTGTAACAAGACTCTTGGAATGGGAAGAGTGGGACACTGGGGGACCCCGAGGCTGACTTTGGCAGTCTGCCTACTGTACTTCATGACCAAGACTCCTGTGCCTGTTTTGTCTGTGGGCATCAGGCCTGGCTGTCTCTCCCACCTGGTCCTCCCGGTAGCTGTCACTCATGGAAGTCAGGATTCACTTGGAGGCTCCCCACTGATATGAAGGCACCCAGGGTAGCATCTGAGTCGGATGGTTTAGGGTTTTCTGGCCATGTGTTTTAGATGGGAAAAAGAACCACATCTGTCTCCTTCTCAGAACAGCCGAACACTAGACTGGCAGCAGAGGGAGGGCTACAAAATGCATATTGGATGGATGGATGAATGGGTGCGTGGATGAATGGATGGATGGGTGGATGCAGGAGAGAATGAAGGAAAGCATAACTACAGGGCAAAGACCACCTTCCCATTGACCAGGTGGCCCCTAGGGCTGGGATGAGATGCTAATTCAGGAACCTATAATGACATTTCTCCTCATTTCCAGGCAGAAAGCCAATCTCCATGCCCTGGATTTCATAGACTGCCATCTAATCCAGTTAGGGGAGGAAGTAGAAGTAATGAAATCAAGGGAGAGGTCTCCAGAGGTGCCCCCATCAGTACTGAAAGCAGGGACAATTGCAAGGGAGTTCCCTCCCCCACAGCCTGTCTCCCTGACATCTACTTGGTGTGGCCCTAACACCAGATGGGTCAATGCAATAACCGAGAGCTCACATTTACTGAGCCCTTCGTCAGAGCTGGGCACTCACCAGGTACTTTTATGTGGATTCTGAAATTTACTAGGTGTAGTTCATTTGATTTCATCACAAGGCTAAAATAAAGGTGAGACCAGCCCCTCAGTCCAGACCAGTGCCTTTGCCCATCATTCTCTTATGGGGTGAGATGGGAGTGGGGGTGGGCTCTGAGAAGGAAGGCAGGCAAGGCAGAGTACTTATGGACTTTAAATGCACCCTGCCCATCTCTGCTATAGCCACCTTTCCTGTAGTGCCTGCCAGATTCAGTGGTTCTGTCCTGTCCTATCCTGGGGCTGGCCAGATCTGCTCCCATGGCTGCTCCATTCCTGTACCTCCCCACCCTGCAGGTTTCTGCCCACCTTCCCATTCTTCTGTCCCATTCAACTTTGCCAGGATCCATCCTGGCCTGGGTTTTGGAGGCAAAATGGAGAGGTGACTTTTATGGTGAAATCTTTAGACCTCTAAATGGCACAGGTCTTGCAGAGCATATCCAAGGCAGTTGTTTTTGTCATGTGAAGTGAGGGGCACCAAGGGGCCCACTGTGTCTAAATTCTCCCCAGTAGTTCTCCTTCTTTAGGGTCAGCTTTGTCTCTCCAGAGCTTCAATCAGCTCACATTTGGGGGAGGAAATTATGCCCTTGGCCCTTTGCTTCTTAAGGAAGGGAGCTTGTCTGAGACCACAGAAAGGGCCAGGCTGCCTGAGACCATAGAAAAAGCTAACCCATTGGAGGTGGTGAGTCAGGGTGGAGGATGGGGAGAGCCTTGGAGACTAACTCCTCCCTATTCAAGCCTGGCCTTGTCTCACTCTTCTCCTTTCCTCCAGGTAGAGTGGGGGCTGCTGGCCCACCCCACGATCCTGCTTATTTGCCTCTGTATTTGACAAGCCTTGCCCCACCTGCTGGAGGAGCTTGGGGCTGATAAGTGGCCCCTGGCCCTGTGGCTTCGTGGCTGCAGCACATCCTGCTTCATTAAGGCTGTAATTGGAGATTGACTTTGAAAGCTCAAAGAGATGCATGGCCACGCACTAGCTCAGACCCAGGATTCAGCCCACTTCTCTCTGTGTTGTTGCAGCGGCCCACATCACATGTGAGTGCCATGGTGGGGGAGAAGACACCCCTTCCCCACTCCTCCCAGCACTCACTGTTGCTAGCAGAGTGAGGTCTGTTGAGACAGACCAGACCAATGGCATCACAGGTTTGAGGCTTCTTAGGTCACCTGTCTCCCCTCTCCCCACAACATCCTCTGCCTTCCTCCTACCCACTCCATCCCCTAGATCCCCAATCATGCAAAATGCAACAGTTCCAACCTGCCCGGCAATTACGTACTAGCCAGGCTGCAGCTGCTGTCCTTGGTGCTGAAAGCGCCCGCCTTCCGGCCTGCCTGCCTCTCGCCCCGCCCTGAGCCTTCTCGTTGGAGCGCACATGCTCTTAATTCAATTAGCTGGCCCTGAACACTCCCCAGGGAGCCTGGAGCGGAAACTGACAAATTCTGTTTAACAAAGACATTTGTCCCTCGCCCCGCTGGCTTTGGGCTCTGCCCGCCTGTATCCCGCTCATTAGGTATCTAACAAAGTGAGTCCCAAGAAATCTGCTTCCAATCGCTAGTAATTCAGGAGGCCTGATGCAATTTTCTCCCTGATAAGGGTGTCTCGCCCACTGGCAAGCGCCATAATGAGCCCTGTGCAGCAGCTCCCCGATCAGTCACTGCTTTGTCATTTCCTGTGGCAGTAGTTGTAGATTCTTATCTCTTCAGCTGTAGGCGAGGTTCAGACAACAGGCCCCTCCAAGAGGGCTTGCAGCCTCCCCTGCATACAGCCAACCTCATTTATGGCATCCTACGTGCTCCTGCAGCTGCAGTGGGGTTTGAAGCTCTGTGTCTGTCTCCCAGCCAAGAAGGATCCCAGTGTTAATCCTTGGTGGGGCCATGATTTATTTGCCAGAAAATGGTGTCAGAGGGTTAATCCCAAAGCAACTTGTGAGGTCAAGGAAGGCAAACCACTGATAACAATTTTTTAAAAATCTGTTGGGGATTTTAGTATGAAAGTCTTGCCTGTGGCTCAGTGGTTTGACTGCAGGCTCACTCTTGTTTGCCTGAAACCTGCTCTTACTGCATTTAATTTTTTCCCTCGAGTTTCCCCTGTTCTTATGCAGAGAGACCTTTCTAACACAGATGAGATCACACCCTACTGCTGCTCCAAGACCCTTCTTAGTTTCCTACCACTTTATGACAAAGCTCTCACCCTGCATCCCAGCACCCAGGTCCTCCACAGTCTAGACTCCATCTTGCTTTATAATCTCACCACCCATTACAGTTCCCAGATGTCATGTGCCCCAGACACTGTCATGCCTCCATGCCTTTGCATATGGGGGTCCCTTTGCCTGAAGCATCCTTGCTTTGCCAATTTCTAACCCACTATTTGGAACAGGGCTCAAACCATGCCTTTCTGTGATGCTTCCCCTGACCTCTGTATGCTGAATGAACCAATCTCAACCAGGCCCCTTAGTAAGATGGTTGGTGGTGATTTGTTGGGGTGCTTTACTGCTTGGCACAAGTTAGAAATCTAATAAGTGGTTAATGAATGAATGACCTTGGCTGGGCCAGAGGTACATCTGGTTTGGCTGAAGGGACTGCCGGAAGGTTTATGATAAGGTGTTTGGGCTTTACAAAGGGGGGAATCCCAAGACCAACTCCCATTTTCTAAGAAGTTTTGTCTAGAAGCTTCTGCCATGTCTCCCTCTATTTCTTCCCTCCACCTTTAATCTACCAATTATGCACTGGGCTCACAGGGAGAGCGGAGCAAGGGAAGGGAGTGGCCAATGTCTAGTTTCGTCAGTCATCTCTGCATCCTGACTTAGTACACTCCGTCTGCAGCTGGGAGTTGCAGGCTCACATTCTCAAGGCAACACAGGGTTCTGTGCTTGGTGAGGCATTTTAAAAAATAAATAAATTGAGTCAGAGTCTTACTCTGTTGCCCAGGCTGGAGTGTAGTGGCACCATCTCAGTTCATTGCAGCCTCAACCTCCCAAGTTTAAGCAATCCTCCTGCCTCAGCCCCCCAAGTAGCTATGACTACAGGTGTGCACCACCATACCTGGCTAATTTTTGTATTTTTAGTGGAGATGGGGTTTTGCCATGTTGCCCAGGCTGGTTTCGAACTCCTGAGCTTAAGTGATCTGCCCGTCTTGGCCTCCAAAAGTGTTGAGTGGATTAGAGGCATGAGCCGCTACACCCAGCCTGGTGAGGCATTTGAGATGAGCTAAAGCAGGTCTTCTGAATTACTAGCAATTGGAAGCAGTATGTCTCTCGGTCCAGCCCTTCCCACTCTGGCCTGGGAGCTCCTAGGCCCCACAGCCCCCAACTCAAGACAGGGTACATTGAGGACTTCAGCAAATCTGGCCTCTGGAGAGATGATTGTCTGTCTGTTCCCTCGTTTCTTTATTCTTGGAAAATTGCAGCGAGACCAAATGTGGTGCTGGCGATGTTTATCTTCAGCACTTGACAAGGCCTCCTGATGTCCTTATGGATGCAAAGCTGGTGGAGCAGCTGTCATGAGGGGCGGGTGCGGAGTGATGGGTTTGCAGGCTCTACCATCTCCCCTCCCCCAGGAGACCTGTCCTCATCCCTGATGAGTTCAGCATGTTTGTCAGCAACTTGGGTGAATGACACTAAGAGATCCCTTTACCAAGGATCTGCAGGACACTGTGCTAGGTACCAGCACATGCTTCCTCATTCAATCTTCACTATGTTCCTGGCTGGTAGGGATTACAATTCACCCCCTCCCCTTTTTTTTAGATGGAGTTTCACTCTTGTTGCCCAGGCTGGAGTGCAATGGTACGAACTCAGCTCACTACAACCTCCATCTCCCGGGTTCAAGTGATTCTCCTGCCTCAGCCTCCCGAGTAGCTTGGGATTACGGGCATTTGCCACCACGCCTGGCTGATTTTGTATTTTTAATAGAGACAGGGTTTCTCAGGTTGATCAGTCTGGTCTTGAACTCCTGACCTCAGGTGATCCACCCACCTCAGCCTCCCAAAGTGCTGGGATTACAGGCGTGAGCCACTGGGACTGGTACAATCCCCTTTTAGGGATGAGAAGTGAAACTCAGGATGTCTAAGATCAAATGGAAGATCCAGATTCAAACCCAGGTCTATGGGCTTACAAGGTGGACACTGCAGCACTTAAAGTGTCCTGGCCACCTCCACAGGTGACCTGGAGCTTGGGGTTGTGGGTACAGGTGGGACTGTGAGTGTGTTGCATGATAAAATCAGGGCCCAGAGTGATCTCAAGCTTAGAAGATGGGCTGAGATGAAAAAGGTGAAATACCACAGGGGAGAGAAATCCTATCTAAGTTCAGAATAGAACAGCAGGGAGGCAAAATGTAGACATGCTGCCTTGCTGATGTACCAGAGTTGGACTCTGGCTCTAAACTGACCCTCACTGCTTTGATAAGTACTAAAACAGAACCAGAGCTAGGCTTCAGCTGCACCAAAGGGGAGAACGTATTCAGAGAGAAGGAGTGAGGGGCCTACTCTACCTCTAATGCTGCTTGTCTCCCCACAGTTTTGGAGGACACTTTAGGAGGAGTGTTTTCAAGAGGAGACAACCAGTAGGACGAGAATCAGAAACCAAGTGCTACAAAGAGGAAGAGAAAGGAGACTGGCTTCAGGCTGGAGATGCCATAAGTAGTTTGCAAATATCAGCAGGGCTGACATGGTCCCGGGCCCTGACTTCTCTGGACCTGGCCTCTGGGAGGAAAAGGGACCAGGGGGAGGAAACTGAAGAGAAACAGAAGGACTTTTACAAGGGAGCCAGTAGAGAGGATACAGAGGGCTTCTTGGGTGGTAATAAGCTCTCTGTCATGGGAAGTGACCAAGTAGAGTCTGTCAAACCCTCTGTGTGTGTTCTGGAGGGACTGTTCAGCTCCTTCTCTCTAAAGTGGGGAGCATGGGAGTTGCATGATCACCAAGGGAAACCAATATTGTCCCCAAGGCATGGGGCACTTTGGGGCCATTCGGGCATTGTGGAAAGCAAGTAGCCTTTTAAGGTGGGATGGCCAGCTCTGCACCCACATTGAGAGTCTGTGACCTGCGGGCCAGGTTGGTCTCGTGGAAGCCCAGACTCTCAACTCTCTTCCGCCCCATCCTAAGCTTCCTTTGCTTTTTTTTTTTTTTTGAGACAGAGTCTCCCTCTGTCGCCCAGGCTGGAGTGCAGTGGCGCGATCTTGGCTCACTGCAACCTCCGCCTCCTAGTAGCTGGGATTACAGGCTCCAGCGACCATGCCCAGCTAATTTTTGTATTTTTTTTTTGTAGAGACAGAGTTTTCTCCACGTTGGTCAGGCTAGTCTCAAACTCCTACCCTTAGGTGATTCGCCCACCTTGGCCTCCCAAACTGCTGGGATTATAGATGTGAGCGACCGCACCCAGCTCTAAGCTTCCTTTGGATGGGTTGAGAAGAGCTGTATAGTAGACTTAGAATCTGAGCAGGTGAGGGAAGGCGCACCTGTGGGAAAGGGTGGGTCTGTCTCCTCTACCTCCTGCAGCAGTGAGAGAACAAGAGGGCAGAGGCTTTGGGTCTGGGAGGGAGTGCAGTCAGGGATGGTGTGAGATGGTGGCAGGGAAAGGGTCTCTCTCTCTGGACCCATCCTTATGATAGTGTTTTCAGAGATGGAGTCTTGGTGGTGGAAACAGAGCCTTACAGAGGGCAGAACCAGTGGAGGAGACTGCTGTGCTGTCCTGGGCACTGGCCCATCCAGGCCACTGTGCTTGGGGAGGAAATGGAGGCAGGTTTGTGCTGGGGTTTCTCTAAGGACCAGCCCAGGGGTGTCATGTGTGGCTTATAAAAAAATCTATAAAAATTATTCAAAAACCAGCATGATGTTGCCTGTCCCCCTGCCCACTCTTCTATATTTGCCAAGTGGCCACTTGTCCCCGCTCTGGGCTGGTCTCCAGAGAGATCTTTGTAACTAGTTTGAAAAGAAACCACCAAAGTAAGTAGCATCAAAGACTTGCCCCACCCCCTCCCTGTGAGGGGAAGAGGGAAGGGGAAGGTCAGATGGGACCATGGCAGCTGCCCCTGCTCTCAGTGGTGGCAGCAGGTGCCACTGCCACCTCTCCTCAAATGCACCCTCTCTATAGTCCCAGGAATCTAGTGGGTTTCAGGACCTCCCAGCATCTGTGGGGGCTGTGGGCTGAGGAGGACGTGGCCACCCATCTGGGAGGCCCTACTTCTGCCTGGTGCCCCATCTGGGCAAGGTGACGGATCCCAAATCTTAAACTCAAGAGGGGAAATTTTGCTGTGCACCCAGATGACGGTATGAACTTGTCCCACCTCGTGGGGAGGTGCATTTGCAGGCAGAGGTAGGAACTGATGCAATGAGCGCCTACTGTGTGCATGCGAAGCTCCAATCCACACGATCAGCCTAGAAAATCTGCTAAGTGTGGGCTTCACTTAAAAGAGGCTGGCTGCAAACTGGAGAGCACCCAGGATGTGGTGGGATCTCGAAACCAGTTCATTAAGAGAGCCAAGCTGCTTTGCCTGGGGAAGTGTAGACTCCCCGGGGACCACATTGCACTCTTCAAAGAGAAGAGGCTGAGATCAGAGGGGGAATGGAGGAGACCAAAGGTTTATGTGTGTGTGTATGTAGAGTAGCCATAGGCTTATGCATTTTGTTTGTTTGTTTTGAGATAGAGTCTTGCTCTGTTGTCCAGGCTGGAGTGTAGTGGCTTACTGCAACCTCCACCTCCTGGGTTCAAGTGATTCTCCTGCCTCAACCTCCCAAGTAGGTGGGATTATGGGTGCCCTCCACCACGCCCAGCTAATTTTTGTATTTTTTATGAGAGACGGGTTTTCACCATGTTGACCAGGCTGGTCTCAAACTCCTGAGCTTGTGATCCGCCTGCCTCGGCCTCCTAAAGTGTTGGGATTACAGGCTGGAGCCGCCGTGCCCAGCCAGGCTTATGAATTTTTAGATCCTAACGGACCTCAAAGGCTAACCCCCACTGAATGTGCAATAAAGGGAAGTTTTCTGTGTAGATGGTTTTGTATATGAGTGTACATGTTTTTTTAGTTTTTATGTAATCTGTGTGTGTTCATATATGTACTCACCTACATACACAAACCATCTTAAGGCAGGCCACTCTGAGCAGCAAATGACTGTAGAGAAGTCCCACCAGAGGGTAAAAAATGAACCCATCTGGCTGGGTGTGGTGGTGCACACCTGTAATCCCAGCACTTTGGGAGGCTGAGGTGGGCAGATCACCTAAGGTTGGGAGTTCAAGACCAGCCTGACTAACATAGAGAAACCCCGTCTCTACTAAAAATACAAAATTAGCCAGCTGTGGTGGCTCGTGCCTGTAATCCCAGCTATTTGGGAGACTGAGGCAGGAGAATCGCTTGAACCTGGGAGGCAGAGGTTGCGATGAGCCGAGATCGTGCCATTGCATTCCAGCCTGGGCAACAAAAGCGAAACTCTGCCTCATAAAAAGAAAAAAAAAGTACCCATTACCAACAAACCATCTTCAAGTGCAATATCCCAAACCAGAGACCACCATCTCTTGCCATTCACTGAGACTGCAGGCTTTGTTATCTAGTCTGCCCACAAAAGTGCTGGTTGACTAACGTGATCTATGTAGGAGGCTTGCTAGGTCTGCCCTGCAGCCTCAGGGGCAGAGCCAGACGCCTGGGGCAGAAGCAGGGCCCAAGGAGGCAGGCTGAGCTCAATGTAGGGTGGGCATTTCTATCACTCAGCCACAGGAGGCCTGCTTCTGGAGCTAGCCAGCTCTCCATCATGGCTGCGCAGGAGGAGAGGCTGGGATGACCACGTGCTGCCAAGGAGACTGCCGTCCAGGGTGGGCTGTTGAGAGAGACCTCTGCTGTCTCTGCCTGTTTGCAAATTTCTCCATCCTGATTCTGAGAGCTCTGAGAATGGGTGATGTGGAAGTGGTGGGTGCGGGGAGGCTGTGCTCACCAAAATGTCCAATTATCCAGGACAGCCTGTGCCCGACACTCCTGGACATGGAGGCTCACGGCAAAGCGCCTGTGTCCGCAGGCTGGGGCTGTGCTCAAATAGGGCATGCACATTCATTTCTCCTGAGGCATTTCCACTCTGTGAGAGCACTGACCACGTCTGACTATGTGCAAAGAGCTGCCCCAGGGATGGAGTTGTTGACCACGTGGATGAGGGGCCTGAGAGCCCCTATCACAAGCCTCTGCAGCTGGAGTGTCCACAGGACTCTAAGACCTCCAGGTGTCAGGTGGTGGCTTCTGGACCCATTATGCAATATTTGATTTAAGCAGTGGAGGAGTTGATGGCCCCAGCTCTGCTGCTGCCTTCCCAGAGGCTAGTATGCAAAAATGAATACCAGCTGCCTTCCACGATGAAGTCGCAGGCAACACCTTAGACGCAACAACAAGGTGGCAGGAATCTGATCTCTGTTACAGCAGCTTAGCCCATAACAGTATTCAGCTACCAGGCAGAGTCCACAGCCCCTCCAAGGACTCCCTATCATGTCACCTTGTTCAAGCGTCCTCAGGCCTCTTATCATTAGCTGATGTCTGCTTATGAATTGCTTGTTTACTGTCTGTTCCCATACTCCCTGCTAAGAGTGCAAGCTTTATGAAGACAGGGCCTTCATAAAGGTTTTTTTTTTCTTCTTCTTCAATGTAATATTCCTAAAATCCAGAACAGCAACTGCTTCATAGGGGGTGCTTCATAAATGTGTGCAGTTGCAGAGAACAATGGTGGCATTGCAGTGAAGGTGGTGATGAGGGACGGAGAAGGGGACGGGCCTCTTTAGACTTAGCTGCAACGCCCTCTGACCTGTTCACGAATTGTCAACACTATCCTGCCATCCCTTAGGGAGAAGGATGCCGAAAGGGCTCAGACACCAGAGAGCCATGTCCAAGCCCAATGAAGGTGCGAGCGCAAAGCAGAATGAGGTCCATGGCTGCCCACCCCTCCTTCTCCGCATTTTAATCCACAGTGACTGCCAAAATTCTGCCTCTTGCCTTGCATAGTACCTGACCTGCGGTGACTCCGCATCAAATATACACGGAATAAAAGAATAACTGCGTGCGTGCTGTGGCTGCAAGCACTTCATGGTGATTCAACCACATTAGCACTTTACACTCAGGCTCCTAAATTGGTCTTCAAAATTCTAGAAACAAAGGGAGTCAGTTATTGGCCAATTCTCTGATATTTCCCCAAGAAATAGTTCCACTGCAAGGAGACTGAGCTTCTGTGCATGCCACTGCGGGTGTGAACATGTCTGTGTCAGTCTGCATCGTATGTGTGAGTGTGTACATATGCATTAAGTGTGTGAGTCCTTCTTGCCAAGGTATGAGCATACACATCTGTGTGACTGTGGCTGTGTGTGTGTAGATATTCACATGGGATTGGTGAGAGCGTATATGGAGAGAGAGAGTGTGTCTGTGTGTGTGTGCGTGTGTGTGTGTGTGTGTGTGTGTGAGAGAGAGAGAGAGAGAAAGAGAATTCTTGGCTGCAGAATCTGAATTTCTGCTAGCACTATTTTCCTGGTACACACCCAATCTGGATCCCCTTTCTTTTCCTTTCTTCTCAGAAATCCATTACTGAAAGGTTTTTTACCCGCCTCCAGGGGGAGGGGGTTGGGGGAAGGAGACGCTAAAGTCACAAGGCCCAGATCAAAACACTCAGCAGCTAAATGAATTCGGCAGCATTTTCCCGCATGACTTGGAGGGATAATTTAGTGAGGCCGCCAGCTGGAGGGAAAGGGATTAATTCTGCACTTAGCACAGCTCCGGTGAATAATTCATTACTGGAGACCTTTGTGCCCAGCCCCTGGGCAATTGGGGAACTGTCCTGCCCACCTGCCTGTTGCCTGCCTGGGCCCACTAGGCCATCAGTCACCTGACCAGGGGCACCTGACGCTCCTTTTAGTCCCGGGATGTACATGGTGGCATTGCAGCGAAGGTGGTGATGAGGGACGGAGAAGGGGACGGGCCTCTTTAGACTTAGGGGCAACGCCCTCTGACCTGCTCATGAATTCTCAACACTATCCTGCCATCCCTTAGGGAGAAGGATGCCGAAAGGGCTCAGACACTAGAGAGCCATGTCCAAGCCCAATGAAGGTGTGAGGTCCATGGCTGCCCACCCCTCCTTCTCCTCAGTGGAAGCGGCAGGAAGTGGAGGGAGGTGGGGAGCGGCTGGCAGTGGCCACAGGCAGACGCTAGACCCTGGGAAGAGGCCCTGGAGGGTTTGGGCTTCAAAATGGGAAGTTTGGACCCTTTTCTCCAAAATTCTGCTCCCTCTTTCTTGGAGTTTTTGGCTTCTACCCTTGGGAGGGCAGTTCTGAACACCTACAGCAGGGAGTGCCAATGGGGGTCTCAGCCCCTTTCCAGAGGACTTGTAAGGACACTTTCAGCATGGTACTAGCCCAGATAGACTCCTTATACCCCACAGCGTAGGACTCCCTGTGTTCTTCATGAGTGAGGTCACAGAGCCAAGTCCTACCCCAGAGCCGGTGGATGTTTTTCCTGCGTGGGAAGAAGGCAGGAGTGGGCTGGCGTGGACATTAGTCCCTGCAAGCATTTTCTGGATTCATAGTCCTAAACCACCCATGTGTCAGCACCCCTGAGAGGAAAGGGGGAAAGTCCAGCGGGTGTCTGGCAGGTGCACTGCAGCCAGTTGAGCAGGGTCTAAGCTGGACTCAGAGACCAGGTGTAGCCAGCTAGAGGGATCAAGGCCCATCCAGCAGGCAGGGCTCAGCCCTGGGTGTCTTCCCATTTGGACCAAGCCAGATGTGGTAGACAGAATTCCAAAAATGGGCCTCCAAGATTTTACAACCTCAGTCTTGGAACCCGTGAATATGATAATCGATCACTCCTGGGATTATGTTTGTTATATGGCATGGTTGACTTTAAGATAGGGAGATGATTGGAGTGGGCAGACCTCATCACCCCAGCCCCTCTAAAAGTTCCTCTAAAAGCACCTCTAAACATTTTCTCTGGCTGCTGACAGGAGAGGAAGTCAGAGTTTTGAAGTGTGGGTTGGGCGTGGTAAATCCTAGCACTTTGGGAGGCTGAGGCAAGTGGATCACCTGAGGTCAGGAGTTTGAGATCAGCCTGACCAACACGGTGAAACCCCATCTCTACTAAAAATACACAAAATTAGCCGGGTGTGGTGGCAGGCGCCTGTAATCCCAGCTACTCAGGAGGCTGAGGCAGGAGAATCATTTGAACCCAGGAGGCGGAGGTTGTGGTGAGCTGAGATTGCACTGCTGCACTCCAGCCTGGTGAAAAGAGCAAAACTCTGCTTCAAAAAAAAAAAAAATGGAGTTTTGAAGCATGAAGGGGACTGGACGTGCCTGCTGGCCTAAGATGAACAGGGCCATTGTGAAGGGGCATGTGGGCGTCCTCCAGGAGCCGAGAGCTGCCCAGCTGACAGCCTGCAAGGAGACCAGGATGGGAGTCCGGCACTGCAGGGAGCTGGACTATGGCAGCAGCCTGAATGAACTTGGACGCAGATTCCTCCCCAGAAAGGAAGGCGACCCTGCCAACATCGTGATTCCAGCCACCTTGTGTCACGGGACCTACCTATAGAAGTGTCAGCTAATAAATGGACATTGCTTTAAGCTTCTTAGCTGGTTCTAAAGCAATAGGAAACTCATATCCTAGTTCAGAACGCTTGCAGAATCTTGATCCCAGTGAGCCAGACTTCATTTGGACTGGGTCAGAGGCTGACTCCCGGGTCTGGGTGGCCCTCTGCTTACAACTGTCTTCTTCCTAATCTCAGCTCTGTGTTTTTCTGGAGTCTCAAATCACCCTTAGACGTTTCCATCCAAAGCAGTAGTCCCAAACTCCCTGAAGTCCCTGAACAAAGCCAGCAATTGTGAAGGAAGTTGGGCCTCACTGACATGTGTCTGCTGGCCCTGACCCTCCCCTGGCCCACAGCCTTACCTCGGAGGAAAACAGCTGGAAGGAAAGATCCACTGTGGGGGCCTCACCACTGATAGTTTTCAGGCTGGTGTCCTGGGGAGGAGAAGGGAGCACTCAGACCATGCTGGCTAGGACAGCTTCCGCCTCTGCACCACCTACTGTTCCAGATTTCCCTGGAAGGTGTCACCTGGGGGCTCACCCAGGAGGGTGAGAGGGAGGTGGGAGCTGGCCTCCTGCTTCTGCCCCCGCAAACCGCCTCCACATCTTCCCTTCTAAACCCCCCTAGAGACCTGTTAGGCACCAGCAGGCACATCTGACAGATTCTCATTTGTTGAGGTCTATTATGTCAGGATGGCCAGAGTATTTTAGGGGAAAAGGTGGCATAGGAGTAGACAGTGATGGAAACAATATTATTAACTCTTATTGAAAACTTATTCTAAGTGCTTCCCATCGGTTTTCTCACAAAATCTCACAGCAACCCTATGAGAAAAGTGCTATTACCATGTACCCATTTTATAGGCAAGGAAACTGAGGCATTGAAACTTTAAGTAGTTTTCCCATGGCCATGTTAGCTAGTATGTGGTGGAACCAGAATTTGGACCCAGACAGTCTGGTTCTAGAGCCTGAGCTCTGAACTCTCTTGTTATACACAGAGATTGTGGACTTGGCATGCTGTTCCGGCTTTAGAGACGAAGACTCTAAGGTTCAGAGTGGTTAAGTTACGTGCCTGAATTTCCACAGTGAGGATGGGACCAAGACAGGATTTGAACCCGAGTCTAGCTGGCTGGAAACCTGAACTCTTGCACTGTCCCAAGGGGTCTCCCTGGACTTCTCTCTCAAGTTGCTCAGAGACAATCTCTCTGGCTTGGTTCATCATAGCCCCAGAGGCAAGACAAGACCGGCTTCTGGGGTTACAGGGAGCTCCTCACTCCTAGACTGGGTGACTTCCCTGGTGGGTGCCTTGACAGAAGCTTTTGGAGAAGCCAAATTCTCCTGTGGAGGTGTGGTGAGGTGGAGCAGGGTGAGGCGGGGTGGGGGCAGGTGGGCGTGCCAGGGGCCCAGTCCAGGGCAGGGGGCTCACCACGATGGGGAGCCGCTCCACGCGAAGCCCATCCATGCCTTTCCCTGTCAGCATCTTCCGGTACAGACAGCTCCTTAGCGGCAACACGGAGATACCCAGGGGCTGGGCCAGGGTCCACGGCTGGCTGCCTTTCACTGCGGGGGAGGGATCAGCTGGGGCTCCTGCCAAAGCCCCCACCTGGGCGCCATCCTTTAATACCTGACATCCAGTCCTCCTGCCTCCCGCCGCCACTGCCACCTGCTTTCCTGCCTCCTGGCCTTTCTCTGCACATACATCCTCTTCTTGTCTTCAGGGCTTTGTGAACTCAAAGCCAACTCTAAACATATTCTGTGTGTCTGGGAAGTTATATGCAACACCCTTGTCTCTGGCCTTTGGGGGCCTTAATCCCACAGTGCAGAAGACTGTGGATCAGCGCGTCTCTGAATCCCATCTCCCTCACCCTTCTGTGAGTTCTGACGGCTCCACTGTCCCCATCAGTGATGGGTGCAATAAAACAAAGCATGGGGCTAAGACCTAGTATGGGACAGGCCCACGTGTCCTGGCCTGTGGACAAGGAATGCAGCCAAGCTCTGCTCTGCCTGCACTAAGAAGTAGCCTCGGCACCTGGGAACCATCCATCCCTGCGGGAGGATGGTCTGAACACCCTTTCATAATACAAGTCTCCTGAGGCATGGCTGCCCTGGCAAGGCAGCAGGGGTCACGTACTTGAAGCTGAGGGGTAGTACTCCAGCACCAGGGCTGTGTCTTCTGAGAAGCTGGTAGCTCCATCTCGGCCTTGGAAGAGGAAGGACTGATTCCACAGGGGCTGCTCCGGGGGTCCCCCAGGCCTGGACAGCTGGAGGGAGAGGGTAGGAGCAGGTGGTGGGGCCACCGCTTCTCCCAAATCAAGACATGCTCAGATACTTGGTTGTGTGTATCTACATTTGTCACAAATGTTTCTCCCAGTTACAAAAGCAAGTTGTCTGGGCATGGTGGCTCACGCCTGTAATCCCAGCACTTTGGGAGGCCAAGGCAAGCGGATCAGTTGAGGTCAGGAGTTCAAGACCAGCTGGGCCAACATGGTGAAACACCATCTCTACTGAAAATACAAAAATTAGCCAGGCATGGTGGCACACCCCTCTAGTTCCAGCTACTCGGGAGGTTGAGGAACAAGAATCACTTGAACCCAGGAGGCGGAGGCTGCAATGAGACAAGATCATGCCACTGCACTCCAGCCTGGGCGACAGAATGAGATCTGTCTAAATAAATAGACCGGGCGCAGTGGCTCACTCCTGTAATCCTAGCACTTTGGGAGGTCAAGGTGGGTGGATCACCTGGGGTCAGGAGTTCGAGACCAGCCTGGCCAACATGGTGAAATTCCATCTCTACTAAAAATGTATATAAATTAGCCAGGCGTGGTGGTGGGCTCCTGTAATTCCATCTACTCAGGAGGTTGAGGCAGGAGAATTGCTTGAACACGGGGGGTGGAGTTTGCAGTGGGCCAAGATACTGCCACTACACTCCAGCCTGCCTCTGTCTCTAAATAAATAAATAAATGCAACACACACATAATAAATACATTTTGGAAAATACAGAAAAGTAGAAAGAAGAAAAACAACCCTTGTGTTCCCATGATAAACATGACAATTGATAGAACTGTGTTTCTTCCTAGATGTTTTTGTGTATATTTTGTATGTAATTGCCTCTCTTCATTTACTATCGGTAAACTGTTTTGACTCTGCCCCCCTCCCCCCGTAGCTCATCATCTTCCAAGAGGATAGGGGACAGACAGGCACACACATACACACACACACACACACATACATGCACACACACAAACATGCGCGCACACGCGCGCGCACACACACACACACACACACACGCAATACATGTAAAGTTGAGTCTAGCATCCCGCCTTTTTCATTCACCAGTAAAACCTAAGCATATCCAAAGTCACAAAAAACTCTCTTTACCCATGACTTTAGTAACTTCAGAATATTCTGTCATGTCCAAGTGCCCTGATTTCTCCCTTCCCATTTTCCCCTATAATAACACTGCATTGAATGTTTTCTACCACGTATCTTCACATCGCAAGTTACTTTCTTTCCACAACTACCTACGATGGAATCGCTGAGTTCAAAGACGTGTATTTTAGGACACCTCATTCATTATTGGTGAACTGTTTTCCTAAAGTGTTGCGCCAATGTTCACACCCATGCCTGGTGGTGTCACAGATGCCAAATTGGACATGACCTCTGTCTGTGTCACGAGCCCCTCTCTGCCCCACACAGCTTCCCCAGCCCCTTGCAGAGGTCAAGACAGCTCTGCAGACTACAGAGCCTCCGTGTGCCCGCAGTGTGGGCCAGAGGGCACATGGGAGAGAGACATGATGGCACCCCAGGCCAGCAGTTGGGGCACACACCTGGGTATGATTTAAACAATGAAATGAGCAGTATGAACTATAGCACTGCCCAATAAGACAGCTATAGGAAATATTCCCGTGGGTGGTCAGAAAAGCCTCCTTGAAGGAAGCAGAGCCAGAGAAAGTTCCTGAAGGAAGGTCTGGCTGGGGGAAGAGAGGGATAAAAGTCTTCAGCATGGGAACACAGCACAAGGAGAAATGTGGAGTGGCACTGAGCACAGCCTGTGCAGAGGATACCTGGAATGAGAGACGCCAGGGGGAGGCCCAGCATCTGCCAAGGCCAGAAGGTGGGAGATGGGAGATGGCCATCAGCCTGTACCTCCCAGAGGGTAGCCCTGCAGGGTCCCAGCACAGGGTGGGGCTGTGGGTCATTGGCACAGATGCACCAAGTGGCTGCCTTGCCTCTCTTCCCCAGCCAGAGGCTGTCAGCAACAGTAGCAGCCGCTCCCATTTCCTGCTCCCCCGCAGGAATCAGTCATTGCAAAAGGTCAGCACAAATGCACCGCCGCTCTAGGAGTTATTGATGCGGGATCATGAAACATCAGCGTAGGTCCACTCCCCCCACAGTGGCAGGGGCCTGATGACGGTCACACTAATGGGCCTGGTTTGCCCAGGCCCAGCCCAAGGCTCAGCTGTGTCTGCCCCTGCCCGTGGAGAGACAGGCTGCAATCACTGCAGGGCTAGCGTGTCCTGGACACCTGAACAGACTGCAGAGATGGGAGTGTCCCACTCCTGGTGGGAGCTTGGCCACCAGGTCCGGCGAGAGAAGTTGGCTCTGAATTCTGTGGGACTTGGGAGTGATCTTTTAAGATTGATCCCCAAACCACATCCCTCCCAGAGCCACCCCATTCTCCTGGATACAGGAGGGTCCCCATGGCTGCCACTGTCTGCCAGGCATTGGGGCACCTGCTGCCCATGCCTTGCTCCTATCCTGGAAGAGTGTTATTTAGTAGATGTAGCCGCCCTCTCTGGGATCTATTCATGTGTCTAAACAGAGCCTACAAACCCAGAGGTGGTGCCCAATAAGGAACAGCCCTTTCCCTGAGCAGTTTCCCAGGGCAAGGCACCTAGGAAAGATCCCTTCAGACCTAGGACTGGGGAGGGAGGGTGTCAGTTTCTCTTGTGTATGTGCAGGCAGGAGTGGCGGGGACTGGAAGTTAGACCTGCAGAGTCTGACGCCAGAGCCCTGGTGAGGGTGCTGTGGCTGATGTGTGTGCAGGGTGGGGGCGGGGAGAGGCAGGCACTGCCTGCAGATGCTAATGGGAAGGGCCACAGCCGCAGTGGAATTACGGAATGTCATTAACCCTCAGCTGTGATCTTCAGAAAAGCCATTAACCCCCAGCCATGGAGGCAGACCTGCTTCCCCTGGGGACACAGCCTTCATTCCATGGCCCCCCTCATTTCCCCTGGGCCCACCCACACCCACCTCTGCCCGCTCTGCCCAGGCGTAGTGGCCGCCATCTGGAGAAGTTGCTGCCGGCAGCAGATGCTGGGCTGGGGTCTCCAGGGAGCTAGGACCCTTTGGCTCTGGGCCTGGGTCTGCCTTGACCTTGCCGTGTGACCTTCAACAAGTCCCTTCTCCTCTTTGGGACCTAGTTTTCCCATCATCCAAGGGGAATAGGCCTCAAACTCATTTTGAAAGCTTGTTGTGAGGTTAAAGGAGACAATGGATGCTTTGCTATTAAGATGAAAGTTCTACTCCACTAAGCAAATGTTGACCCTCCACGCCAGAGGCCCTCGGGGTGCCGCTAGAGCCAGGCTCTGTCCACGACCCTGTAGCTCACCATCTTGCAAGAGGATAGGGGGCACACACACACACACACACACACACAATACATGTAGAGTCCTAAGCAGGCTGTGGTTGTGGGAGCTGGGGTGTGCGAGGAGAAAGCCATGATTTCTTACCCGATTCCTCAGGGAGGGCCCGAAGGAGAAGGGCAGCAGGTAAGGAGGAGGAAGGCCACTCCAGGCTGAGTGCAGCAGAGACAGAGGCTGCAGCTGGGAGGGGGCAAGCCATCCAGGGGGGCTGCAGAATGCCTATATGAGCTGGAGCCATAAGCCAGGAGGCTGGAGGTCATGGGGCCTTGTGAACCTGGCTGAGAGGGGGGCTTTGCCTTGTGATAGGGATGAGGAGCCCAGGGGAAGGGCTAGGCAGGGGTGCCCTAGCTGCTCCTCAGAGAATGAGTGGCAGGGGCCTGAGGAGAGACCAGCACTAGGGCAGGGTCTGTGAGGATGGAAGGGGCCACAGGAGAGCTTGGGGACAGACCAGCTGTAGGGCTGAGAGGAGGAGATGGTGGTGGGCACACATGGCTTCCCGGAGCTCCGCCCCAGCCCTGCAGGAGACAGGAACAGGGGCAGCTTGGTGGGCAATGGGCCCCTTTCAAGGTGCTGGTGTAGGAGTAACTTACACGGCCCACCCTATGTTGGTTCCAGCAGGCTGGACCAGATGAAGTCTGACTGGCCACCTATCCCTTAACTCACCAGTTCAGGCTTTGCCGTCATCACCAGGCTCCACTGAGGGCCGCCTAGCCCACCACCATTCCCCTGCCTGCCTCATCACCAGCAGATGGCCTTTGGGTTCGGGTGACCCATAACCTTCCACAGTAATACCAGCAAGGCAGAACCACACCCCTCCTCAGTGATTGGCTCAGGGAAGTGCATGTAACCCAAACCTGGCCAATGAGACAGGAAAGAGGTCTGCTGAGGGATGGCTGGGTGAGGTTGATTTTCAGTTGCTCCTTTTTTTTTTTTTTGGAGACAGAGTTTCCCTCTCATCGCCCAGGATGGAGTGCAGAGGCACGATCTCAGCTCACTGCAACCTCTGCCTACCAGGTTCAAGGGATTCTCCTGCTTCATCCTCCTGAGTACCTGGGATTACAGACACCCACGACCACACCTGGCTAATGTTTGCACTTTTAGTAGAGACAGGGTTTCATCATGTTGACCAGGCTGGTCTCGAACTCCTGACCTCAGGTGATCCACCCACCTCGGCCTTCCAAAGTGCTGGGATTACAGGTGTGAGCCACTGCACCCGACCTCCAGTTGCTCCTTAAAACCACCTGCAAAAAGAGAGGCTGCTGCCGGGCACGGTGGCTCATGCCTGTAATCCCAGCACTTTGGTCTGTAATCCCAGCTCTTTGAGGCCAAGGCAGGTGGATCACCTGAGGTCGGGAGTTCAAGACCAGCTGGCTAACATGGTGAAACCCCGTCTCTACTAAATGTACAAAATTGGCTGGGTGTGGTGGTGCATACCTGCAATCCTAGCTACTTGGGAAGCTGAGGCAGGAGAATCCCTTGAACCCAGGAGAGGTGGGTTGCAGTGAGCCAGGGTGGCGCCACTGCACTCCAGCCTGGGTAACAGAGTGAGGCTCGGTCTCCACAAGAAAAAAAAAAAGAAGAGAGGCTGCCTCTTTTCTGCTGGTCTTTCATTCTATTTGGGTGGGTTGCCTCCATGAGCCATTAGCCAGCTGGAGATGGTAATTCATGGGTGTTGGAAAGATCCTGAGACCTCAAGGACACTTTTGAGCCTGAGCATCCACCAATTCTGGCAGCATCCTATGTCGTGATTTGATGTGGTGTGTGACAATAAATATCCTTAGTGTTTAAGCCGATCCAAGTTGGGGTTTCTGTTAATTGGAGCCAGATGAGAAAGGGCAGTGATGAGGCTAGCCTCAAAGGGGGCACCGGCACTAGGGGAGGTACAGCTCTGAAAAGAGTGGAACCCATTTATCATGGACCCTGGGCCTGGGCGCTTTGCAAAGATTATCCTTTGCATTCCCCTGACAGCCCGAGGAGATTGGAATCAACGGGTCCAGAGAAAGGAGCAGCTTACCAAAGGTCATGCAGTCAGTAAGTCACAGAGCTGGGGTCAAATCCAGGTCAAACAGTGCTTTTGCATGGTGACAATTGGTGAAAAATCACAGCCACCCCCAAGATGTCAGAGAGGGCAGGCCCTAGAAATTACCAAGTTCAATCTCACCCGCTCAGCTGTAGAGATAAGGGGACTGAAGGTCAAAGGGGACAGGGTGGGGTTCTGTGTGAGGTCTGAGTGCAGGCTGCTGACTGGTGCCCCTCCAGGTAGGGCTCTGCCCTGGCAATCCCCACACCTCCTTCCCACAGCAGCCTGCCCCTGTTCTCTCACTGCTGCACCTGGGCACCTCTGTGCCAGCTGCCAGCAAATTCCCAACCTGGCCCAGCGGCCATGGGGTTGGGTGACGTTCAACAAGTGTCCTGCCATTGCTGGACCTCTGGCTCCAGGTCCTACACATGCAAAAGGCATTAGGGCAAGTCTCTGTAGTGAGGGGCGCCTCCCCCACCCAGACTAGTTAGGCAGCAAAGGCAGCCAGAGAGAGCCTGGGGGTGGGAGGGGGCGCACTCATTAAAGCAGGCAGCGCCTCCTACCCCTTGGGACAGCCTGCTGATTGGTTCTTAATTTTCTAGGCAAATGCAGGGCCATGTGTGAAGTAACTCTGGGGAAATCAGGCAAAGGATTGGTTTGGGTTTGAAGCCTTTGTCCCCAGGGTCCCCCTTTGTCCCGCTCCTCCCCAACACCGTCACTCTACCCCATGTCTGAGCCTTCTTCAAATGTCTTTGCCTTTAAATGAAGGCTGGGCTCCAAAGGGGTGTCTTATTCTATTTTTGCCATACCAGACATAAGTATTGGTGGGCAGACGACAGCAGGAGGACCTCCAAAAATCCACCTGTCCTTCAAGGTCCCTAGGAATGTTGGGACCATTGTGTGGGGCAACCTGGCAGTGAAGCGCAGACCATAAGAGACCATCTGGCTGTTCCCCCGGACCCAGACATGGTCTGACCATACCCCAGCCCCCAACCACATACTCAAACACACGGCCCTCCTGTCTGCCCTGACAAGTGTCCCCACCTCACACTTGTGCTCTTGCTGTGTCCAACTGCCCTGCCCTGTACCAACACTTCCTCTGTTAAAAATTCAAGACCAGGTGCCGTGGTTCATGCCTGTAATCCTAGCATTTTTGGAGGCCAAGACGGGTAGATCACGAGGTCAGGAGTTCAAGACCAGCCTGGCCAAGATGGTGAAAGCCCGTCTCTGCTAAAACTACAAAAATTAGCCGGGTGGGGTGACACCTGTAATCTCAGCTACTCAGGAGGCTGAGGCAGGAGAATCACTTGAACCTGGGCGAGGGCGGCAGAGGTTGCAGTAAGCTAAGATCGCGCCATTGTACTCCAGCCTGGGTGACTGAGTGAGACTTTGTCTCAAAAAAAAAAAAAAAAAAAAAAAAAAGACTACCTTCCCTAATCCAGGCTTTACATCCCTTTGCTCTGATCAAAAAAAATTTTTTTTTCCCAGGCGCAGTGACTCATGCCTGTAATCCCAGCATTTTAGGAGGCCGAGGCAGGTGGATCACCTGAGATCAGGAATCCAAGAACAACCTGGCCAACCTGGTAAAACCCCATCGCTACTAAAAAGACAAAGATCAGCCAGGTGTGGTGTCATGTCCCTATAATCCCAGCTACATGAGAGGCTGAGGCAGGAGAATCACTTCAACCAGGGAGTCTGAGGTTGCAGTGAGCTGAGATCACGCCACTGCAATCTAGCCTAGGAGACAAGAGCGAAACTCTGTCTCAAAAAATATATAAATAAATAAAATGTCCATAACACAACGTTCACCACTGTAGCCATTTTTAAGTGTATGGTTCAGTGATGTTAAGTGCATTCGTATTGTTGTGTAACCATCCCCACTGTCTGTTTCCAGGACTTTTCATCACTTGAAACGGAAACTGCATACCCGTGACCCGTAACTCCCCGTTCTCCTCTTTCCCCAGTCCCTGTAGCCATTGTTCTACATTCTGACTCTGAATTTTCCTATTCTAGGTATCTCATCTAAGTGGAATCATATATTTGTCCTTTTATGTCTTCTCTCCTCTGATGTTATAGCCCTGACAGGCCCTCCTGGTTTGTTATTAGATTACCCATTATCTTGTCTTGATGTTCAAATTTTCACCCATGTGACTACCATCTTCACCAGACCAAGAGCTCCTGGAGGGCATTTTCTCTGTGAGTGCAGCCCTGGGTATGCCTTGGGATGCAGTCAACCCTTACTCAATAGTCCAGGGAACTGCTGACTAACCCACTGAGTGGGTGAACAGTGAATGTGTGGGGGAGTTACTGGAAGCTGGAACCAGAGCGGAGGGGACATACCTGAGGGCATCCGTTCTGGCTGACCCGAGGCACGTCAAAGTTCATCACAGACGGGATAGGGAAGGAGAGTGGGGTGATGGGAAGCCCCACGGAGGTCAGGTCCCTGTTGGCCTGGCTGACCCTGGGGAGGCAGGGAGACAGGATCAGTGCTCTGGGATCTGCACCTGAGCCTGGCAGCCTGGGGTCCCCACTCTGACTCTGGGTTGATATGGGAGAAGGGAGTGCAGGGACCCTGCCAAGTTTGGACCTGGGCCTCATGACAAGTGGGTACCACTGGGCTGGGTGTGCATCAGTCATCTTCCTTCCTCCAATAAGCAAGGGGGCTTCGTAGGTCATACAAACTCAACAGGAGGTACAGATAAGTCAGGGCATCAGGGCAAATTGGAAGTGACCGAGACAGACCCTGTCTCCCACGAGATGGTGCTGTCGCAGAGAGTGCACGCTTATTGGGAAACTTTCCCACTGTGGCCAAGTATGAATCTCCGGAGGACTGACTCCAACAGACTCAAAAGGAGGTCTCGGGGGGAGGGGACATGTTAAGGCCTCCAGGATGAGGAGGGAGGGGACACTGGCAGGGCTAAAGACTGTGAAGTTCTGCCTGGGCGCAGTGGCTCATGGCTGTAATTTCAGCACTTTGAGAGGCCAAAGTGGGCGGATCACGAGGTCAGGAGTTCAAGACCAGCCTGGCCAACATGGTGAAACTCCATCTCTACTAAAAATACAAAAATTGGCTGGGCATGGTGGCTCACGCCTGTAATCTCAGCACTTAGGGAGGCCGAGGAGGGCGGATCACCTGAGGTCGAGAATTAGAGACCAGCCTGACCAACATGGAGAAACACTGTCTCTACTAAAAATACAAAATTAGCCAGGCGTGGTGGCACATGCCTATAATCCCAGCTACTCAGGAGGCTGAGGCTGAAGAATTGCTTGAACCCAGGAGGCAGAGGTTGCGGTGAGCTGAGATCGTGCCATTGCACTCCAGCCTGGGCAACAAGAGCGAAACTCCTCAAAAACAAAAAAAAGACTGTGAAGTTCCAAGATGGCCTTTAGGGCCAACCACCGGCTGGAGCCTGTGGCCCTGAGATGGAGTGGGAAGGGGAGTGTGGAGGTGGTGGGTGTGAGGCAGGGAGGCAGGCTGGAGGGGCTCAGGCCCCCTGGGCAGGGAATGAGGACCCTTCTTGTTCCCCTTCACACACTCTGTAGCTGTCAGGCCTGGTATTGGCACTCATCCCCACCACCTCTCCTCCAGCCTTTCAGGGGGCCGGGGCTCTCCCTGGGGAAAGAAAGACATGGTCTGGTCTGCTGCAGGAAGCTTACTAGGACCTCCGACCCAGTAAGGAGGCTTGAAGGGCCTTAGGGGAAAAGGGGCTTCCAGAGGACCTGGAATCAGCCCTTAGCAGCAATGATAGCCTTGCCCCCTCCTCTGGTCTCTGCCCTCCCCTCCCTGCCCGTGCCCACCTGGCCCCACTCACTTGAATTCCTTGTAGTTGGGAACAACCCGGGCAATCACCACAATGGGGTTGGGGTTGTTGGCCAGGGGCTCGTTGAATCCCCGGAGAAAGATCTGGAGAGGAGAGGAGGCAGGTGAACCTCCATGTGCCCTTGGGACCTTCCAGAGACAGCCAGCCAGCCTGCCTGCCATCTTTCTTCCCAGCCGTGGGCTCGTGCCTGCCTCCACACTTGACAGCCGCTCTTCCCTGTTCTTTGCCTTCCTCGGTTCCCGCCTGGCACCAGGGTGCCCTCCCTCGGGAAGCCTCCTCTGCCTAGCTGAGGCAATGGCCCCTGCTCTCTGTCCTGGGATTTGCCAAAGGATCTCTTACACCAGCCCCTTTGGGGAGAAAGGGTGCGATGAGAGTTGGGGCCTGGGAAGGGAGGTTGTGTTCTAACCTCGGCCCCTCCACTGGCTCCTGGGGAGGGGAGGGCTAGGGTTAGGGTTAGGTGCTCCAGCTCCTTGGTTTCTGTCAGTCAAATGAGGCTCCTCCCAGGACTGTGAAGGGTCTCTGATTAGATGGTTTGTGAGAGAGCACTTTGTAAACTGAGGACAGGAAGCCCAGGCCTGGCTTCTCTGAACATGCTGAACTTCCTGAGGTCAGCAGTCACAGCCAGCCTCCTCTGGCCTCCCTGGCACCCATCACCCTGGTGCCTGCTCCCCACAAGCTTTCCCCAGCAAGTCCAGGTTTGGAACAGGATCATGGCATCTGCATCTCTGGGCTCCTCTTTCTTTATCAGATGCCGTTGCCACTCCCGTGACTGCCCTGTTACCTCCTCAGTCCTCTGCCACCTCCTAAGGGCTTGCCTGCCTCCCAGCCCTGACTGCCCTCTCCCCCACTCCGGGCTTCCGCTGGTGCAGCTTTCAGAGAGCAGAGTGGGGCCCCAGCAGGAGGCTACAAAGCAGGACTGGGCAGCGTCCCTTGCTCCAACACTCACTGACCCCCTGCAGTCTGGGCCTGGGGAACACTGGAAGGCAGCCAGGGGAGACAGGGAGCCTGCCCCATGCGCCCCCACCGCCAGCCCAAGAGCCCCTGATCTCCCAGCCCCACTCTCACCCCATATCCACCAATGGCCCTCCATCTCCCTCAGCCCCCCACCACCTCCCACTCACTGTCATTCCTCTTGCTCCTCCCATTCCTCTGTCTCCTCACTGGCCTCTTCACTTCTGTTCCTTTCCCTAATCCATCCACTTTCCCAGGTAATTTGACACATGATGGCAAAAGTACTCTTGTTAAAAATGAACTGGGTCATGTCACTCCCTGCCTGACACCCCGCGTGTCCCTCTGCCTCGTCTCCCGACGTGGAGGGGGCAGACCTTGTCTTCTTGCTCCAGACTCCTTTTCTCTTACTCCTGCCACACGGCCCTCTTGTTTCTGCCACAGGATCTTTGCACATGCTAATCCCTCAGCCCAGACTCCCCCTACCCCCTAGCAGCCCATCATGGCTGGCTCCTCCTCATCCTGCAGCTTCAACATCGCCGCGTTTGAGAAACCTCCCATGGTATTCTTAATAAAGTAGCCCACCCTATTCTCCAGATCTCAGTTGCTGGATTCCTTTTGCCATAGTACTAATCAGAGCTTATGTTCATTCTAATTTATCTCGTTTATTTTCTGTCTATTTGGCTATATCCCAAGCTCCACAAGAGCAGGGACCATGTCTGTCTCATTTATGGTTGTCATTCTCAGTTTTAACAAAAGTGCCTGGCATAGAAAAGAACTCAGGATCTGTTTGTGGATAAATGAGAATCATATGAATGAAGAAGCAAAGGGAGGAATGGTGGAGGGAAAGTTTACCCTTCCTGTGTTTATGAGCATGAAAGAAGGAGAGAGAGAGAAACAGAAAGACCCAAGAGAAAGAAGGGGAGAAGGCAGGCAGTGGTCTGGGCGAGGGTCTGCCTGGGTCTTGGGAGACGTGTGGGATCCTAGTTTCATGGTGCTGATGGGAAGAGAAGCAGGAAGAGGAAGGGACTCTGGACACGGCTGAAGGACTCTGCCCCAGGCACAGCTTGGGATGAGAAGAGGTCCTCATTCGTCTATTCCAGCTCAGCCACTCACTCCAGCTGGGTCACGTTGGCCAGTTTCTGCTCCACTCTGGACCTCAGTTTCCCAACTTGTGCACAGAAGGGTTGAACCATAATCTCCTCTAAGTTTCTAGCTCTGACCTTCAATGGGAGGAGAGGGCCCAGGAGTGGGGCTTGTTCTGGATCCTCCCCCTTTTTCTCCCTCTGCACCCACCTCTCAGGCCCCTCTGCCAGGACCATGTCAGCTGGTTGCCCCAACCCTAACCCCACACAGGTGTGAGCTGATCGGTACGTACAGTAGTCCTCAGGGCTTTGCAGCTCTCACTGAGGGCTCTGGAGACTGAATCCCTTCACCACACTCAAAGGATTGACTCTCTGACGGTACATCTCACACTTTGGGTGGGTCTGGCGTCTGGGCCTGATGGATTTCACTGGAGGCTGTCAGGCCCTATTACTCACAGGCTCCCCAGCAGGTGTAAGGCTGAAAAGGGGGTGGTGGCAGCTAATTTGCACCTGTTCTGTGTGGACTCTGATCAGGTGTGAATGAGACAGCTGCCCAAGTACACCTGCTCACGACAGCCCAGGAAGTGGCAGAAGTTTCTGCCCCTGCCGTGCGCTCACCATCAGGAGCAGGCAGCTACTCTGCAGACCTACCTGTCGCACAGACAAAGAGGGCATCTGTGCTGGGAGAGGAGAGTGGGCAGGCTGCTGCAGGCCAGGGAAGACCCCCACTCTATCGCTCTACCAGGCAAGTCAGAGGGCTGAGTGGGGTTGGGCAACTCCACAGCAGCCCCAGAGTTCTGCCTGGGTCTTGGGGATGTGGCCCCCTCCCTGTGGGGTGTGGCCTGGGGACAGCAAGTGCAGGCTGTTGTCCCTCTTCCTTGTTCTGTGTCTGTTTGAGCTGTTGGCTGTCCTCGGGAAAAAGGGCGTGATAGAAGGTGGGGGAGCAGAGGCCCCCTGTAGGTCTGACATGCTGGCATTGGAGGGGTAGCTGTGGGGGAGCAGCAGTGTGGGTTAGGAGTTCTGGCTCCCATACCATACTCCCCTTGGGTCTCAGTGTCCCCGGCTGTGAAATAGGGCAAAAGAATGCTTCCTCCCCTGTCAGGCTCACGGTGCTGGTGGGAGGTAGGAGGGTGGGAAGGGAAGAAACAGACTAGCCATGTTTGGGTAGGTGGAAGCTCACAGTTTGGGTCCTATGGCTCTCACCCTGATCATACTCAGGCCATAGCTGAATTTGAATCTGTCACCTAGGGGCAGTTTGAAAGCTGGGGGAAATGGGAAAGGGGCCAGGTCCCTGGATCTTGCCTGCTTTGAGCATCAAGAGTCCCTCCCAAAGCTGCTAATTGGCCTAGAGGGTGGATGGTGATGGGTCAAGGGGAGGTGGCCGGGCCCAAGGTGGGCCCAGCCCTGTCCTAGCTAATGGAAGAGGCTCTGTAAATAGCTGCTGAATGAATAAATAAATGAATGAACTGAATACTTAATCAGCAGACCAGTTAAACCTCTTTAGCCACAGTACTGGAGGAAAAAGCTCAAGGAGGCCCTACACTTCAGCTTGTGGGCCCAGGCACTATCCCAGGAGGGGAAGAATAGAATAGGAAACAGCTGGGCTACGGGCTAAGCGGGAGCACGGGCATCTCCCCTGCCCCTAACATAAGATTCGGGGAGACACAAGGCTCCGGGAGGTTCCGGTCCCCACTGCAGCACAGAGACGGTACACGAGGAGCAGCGCTTTGGCTGAGCCCCTGCCCCCACCTCCAGGGCAGAGACGGAAGGAGCAGAGGCTGGACCATCTTCATCCTCATCATTGCTGCCAAAGGGCTTGTCTTCACAAACTCCTTTTGCTATTTTGGAAAGGCCTGGCTGCTTTTTTCATTGTTGACGCCTCCGCTCCACACCCTCAGGCCAGCCAGAAGGGGCCAAGGGCAAGGTGTGGGGCCTGCTCAAAGCTTGGCCCCTTCCCACCCCATCCCACCCCCACCCCTGAGGGCCCCAGCCCTGGTACCTCCAGAGCTGCGTGGTTGCAGCCGACATAGCGGGGGATGAAGCTGTTCTTCCGAACGACTGTTGCGTACAACTGAGTCTTGGCAGTGGCTTCATCGGCTTTCCCAGACTGAGTGGGCTGGAGACAGTGTGGGGGCAGAAGACACAGAGGAAGGAGAGCGTCTAAGGGGCAGATCATGGCCATAAATCCAGCCCACTGCAGACAATCACTGGGCATTGCTCCACTGGGGCTCCGAGCTGATAATTAAAGCTCATGGTCCCTGCGAGCCCTTCCAAGGAGATCAATATAATAAATCTTCCCTTTTCCATTTGAATATTTCATCACCCTCACAAGGACCACTGCCTGTCTGCTCACCAGTAAGGACGTGATAACAAGGCCTGGGCTGTAAGTAAACAGGCAGCCAGGGGGCCTGGGTGATGCCCCCAGAATTACGGCTCAAGTGCCTAGTCTCTCAGGGTGAGTAACTATCTCTCTTTTACTTCCCTGAAGCCTTGGGATTGGGGTTCTCTGTGGGGCCTGAGGGAAGGTAAAACCCTAAGGGAAGGTAAAAGGAAGGTAAAAGCCCGCAGTTGAAGAGTGGCTTAGAAGAAAGTTCAGTGCCAACCCAGAGGAGGGAGGGAGGGAGAAGGGGAGCTGACCAAACTGAGCACCTATTGTGTGCCAAGAACCTTGCCTATCATTGCATGGGACCCTCAAAATGACTGTGCCAGCTTTGCCAATGAGGATGGAGGCCTGGGGGTTAAGTGGCTTGCTTCCCATGGGTATCCAGCTAGGAGGCAGCAAGCCTGGGATAGAACCCTGACAATCTGGCTTTGCATTGTCCATTACTGTCTGCCACTATTGGGGTCTGGAGTGCATAGTGGGGAGAGGAATATGATGCATCTGCCTATCTCCTGGCACATAGTGGGTGCTTCATAAGTCTTTGAGCAATAAGAGAGTGAATTCTACCCCTTACCCCTCAGCACTAGGAGGGAGGACAGGCAGGGGTCTGGCCTGGGAGGTCCAACCTTGGAGTGAGGAGCCTCAGGCCCCTCAGTTCATGGCTTGAACCCAGTTGCTCACTACAGGGGTTCATTCCAGGAAATGCTTTATCCCGTGTACCCCCCAACTCCGCTGGGCCTTCTGACCAAGGCAGCATGTGGAGGCAGCTCAGAAGGAACTGGCCTGGAACACGGCATGACCTGGGCTCACCCTCAACTCTGCCACTCACTTGCTCACTTGCTCTGTGACCCAGAAGGAGGAGATTTTTCTCCTCAGGTCCCAGTCCCGCGTCTGCAAAATGTCATTTAGCTTGAGAATTACAGGGGGGTGTGACGTGTCTAGCACAGGGCCTGGAAGCAGCAGGTACTCTGTAACTATTGTGTTTCTTCGATTTTTAGATCCTCTCTTCTTTTAACATTTGCGAAATCAGAATATATCTTTAACTGGTGTATTCATTTAATGTGGCAGCTGTCCTGTAATCATCAGCTGTTTCACAGAGATGAATTTGGAGAATTCTAAATTCTTGTAGACATCACTCTTGTGTATGTGGCAGGAGCTGTGTCTCTTGAGCCCCACCTCGTCCTAGACTTGTCACGCTGTGGGTGGGTGTGATGCCCAGGGCTGCTCTGAGGCAAAATCTGGGGGCATTGAGGTGGTTCCCACTTGCTCTCCCTGCACTTCCTCGGGCCTCTGACTCACCTTCACCAGCTCAAAGTGGTAGGGGTGGAAGACACGCAGGTACTTGACGGGTATTTTGTAGGACAACAACTCCTCTTTCTGTTTGTTGTCTACCACCTGGAGAATCACATCTGGAAATAAAAGAAATGAGCACAGATTCTGTTTTAAATGGACCCCTTTCCCTCCCAGTAAGGGGAGACAGTGAGAGGTGAGAGACATCACCAAGGGTAGAGAGCAGGGGCCACACAGTAAATCAACATGCACGCACATGTGTGGGTCACCCCTGTGCACACAAACCCACAAGCGCAGTCTAAGCCCCTACACAGGGCGAGGCTCCGTGCCAGCTGCTGTTAGGACCCCAACATGCAATTTTCTCCAGTGGTCTAGAAACTCCCAGCCCAGAGACAGACACACACAGAACTGAGTTCAGACCCCTGTGACAACAGACGCACATGTGCACACACTGAGTACACAGGCAAACAGGCATAGCACCTCTTTCCAGGAATAAGACTCCTTCTCTTGGTCACAAACGCTTGTGCCAGCTCTTGATGGCACAAGGATGGGGAGAGATTATCTCACACATGTTGCAGGTGGAGAGACTGAATTTCAGTTGGAAAAAGTGATTTGCTCAAGAAATCCTTTAATGCAGCTATCAATAAAAGTCTACTACAAGTCAGGGAAACCTGGTCTAAATACTAAGAATAATGGACCACTTGGTAAACACCTCCCAAAGAGACTATATTGTCTCATAAAATGGCATGAACATTGGTATAAACTTTTTTTTTTTGAGACAGTGTCTCACTTGGTCACCCAGGCTGGAGTGTGGTGGCATGATCTCAGCTCACTGCCACCTCCGCCTCCTTGGGTCAAGTGATTCTTCTGCCTCAGCCTCCTAAGTAGCTGGGATTACAGGCACTCACCACCATGCTTAGCTAATTTTTGTATTTTCAGTAGAGACAAGGTTTTGCCATGTTGGCCAGGCTGGTCCCGAACTCCTGACTTCAGGGGATCTGTCCACCTCGGCTTCCCAAAGTGCTGGGATTACAGGCATGAGCCACCATGCCCAGCCAGTATAAATTTTAAGGAGAATACCAATGTCCTATAAATAATCATGACAGTGCTGTTTAGTAGGCAGGACTGCTATGATTATTTAGTGAGCATCTACTATGTGGCAGGCATGGGGATGGGCACATCTCAGCCATGATTCCAACAAATTCTCACCACAACCCCTCAGGTGGGTATCATCATCTCTCTTCTTAAAATATGAGCAGTGGGGCTTAGAGGGTTATATAACTTGATCAACATCACACATCTAGAAAGTAGATGATGGGAAGGGTTGGATTTGGTGACACCCAAGGCATCTTTCTATTCTAGAAACCTATGATTTGAGGAGGAAGAAGAGATGGGGAGAAAAGAAGGAGAAGGATAGAGGAGGAATGGAGCAGGAATGAGAAAGATGGGGTAAGAAATGATACAAAACAGAGAAGAATAGGAAATGGAGGATGGGGCGGAGACGCGTGCCTGAGGGAAACGGGGCCCCTTGCCCTCTGCTTCTCTTGAGACAAGAAATTTCAGCACCAGGGACAGCAGCTGGCCCTTGAGGGCTCTGCAGGTTCAGTGGGCTCAGCAACTGGGTCATTTGGAGCTGGATGGGTCATTTTGAGAAGAAAGCTGAGGGCTTTGCTAAGTATTCTTCCTTTCTCTGTCTTCCCCACAGCTACCCTGAACACTTGCCAAGGTGTCTCAAGAACTGGCCACATGGGATCCGTGCTCAAAGGAAAGAAGGAGGAAAGGGCACCAAAGGTGTTGAGATTGGCTTGAAGAAAGGAGACTGAGGCAAAGATTTGAAGTCAGCAGACCTGAGTTCTAGTATCAAGACACTCACTTGCTCTGTGACTGTTAGCAAATCTTTTAGCCCCTCTGAGCTTTATGTTCCTGCTCTTCGGCAGGTTAAGACTTGAATAAAGAAACCGTGTCTCTCCCGTTGGATTGTGGTAGGGAGAAGACTGTTTTCTCCCAAGCTATAACATTCTGTGCAAGCACTCCTCGTGGCTGCAGCTCTCCATACACAAACCCTGCTGTGGGCAGACCTGAGGAAACTCAGCTGGGGGATTCCAATGCTCCCAGCCAAAGCACTACCAGGAGCTGGGCAGACTGAAGCCCCTTATGCCCACTCACCATGGACCAGGAGTCCCCAGATCCAGTTGGGATTTGCCAGGGTTGAAGGAGAGGTGAGTGCCGTGCATTTTCCGCACCCTCTATTTTTGGAGCTCTGTGTGGGCAGTCATCAGATGAGCTGGAATTGGGGGTAATGGACAGCCACTCCTCCCTGCTCCTGTCTGCATGCTACAAACACGCTTCATCAGCTTCCTCTCTGGGCATTGTGCCCTTCCGGCCTCCCACCGCTCCCTTTGTGTGGCCAACAAGCTATTTCTGCCACCCGCCTGCTTTGGCCCTGACACAGGGTCTGAAACTCCCCTTTGCTTTTCATTAACACGTCCTTGAGCTACCTCCCATCCTTCCCCCGCCTCTTGGCCTGGCCCCTATCTCCCCCACCCCCACCGCAGACATCACCACAGCAACCGGTTCCAACAACCATCCAGCTACTTCAATCTGCAATGAGGCGCCTGCCAATATTCCCCGCCTGCCCAGACGGCCTCCCCACTCTCTTGTCCCTCCTGCAGTTAGTCCTGCCCCTCTCTCTGCTGCACAATGGGCCCTGGGGTCACTGACCTCATTATATTTTTCCCTCTGTTACCCCAAGTGTGTAGAGCCCAGGGCAGGATCCCAGCTCAGGTCCACTCGCCACAACCTCTAACTTCCCACCAGCCACATAAATACATGCATGCATGCATACACACACTAAGCATGCACACAAACTGCACATACTCATGCACTGCAAGGCACACACCACCATCCAGATCCATCCAGACACACACACACCACACTGTTGCAGCCAGACACACCCACGCACACACACATACACACACACAAGACACACAGACACGCATGCCTACAAGTAGACACAGCACGCATCACATTCACACATGCGCATGAACCAGCATGCAGGCATTCACAAAGACATGCACACACAGGCACGCATGTGCCTCTGCATGAAATCTTAGGTCAATTTTTCCTCCTTTTTTGCATCTTGTTAAAGCATCCCAGGAGCTCCACCTATCCCTTTACAGACAGAAAAGAAAAATTCTCTGGCTTGACCTAGAACTAGTTCCTTCCCCTTTTATGGAGGCTCCTGCTCTGTTTCTTTTCTCCCCTTCCACAGTCTTCAGCTGGCTTTCTGCTCTTTGTGAGGAGAACAAGGAGTTCTGTCTAGGTCCCTGGCAAGATTTCAAGGGAGAGAGGCAAAGCCTGTCCTCTCAGGGAGAGACCACCTGCAAGAAGCAAGTCTGAGGTTCCGACTAGATAAGATCAGAGACATCATCAGGCACCTCTGGTCTGTGCTGACAGTGCCCGATGCGATGCCGCACAGTCTGGGCATCAACCAGTCAGCATTTCCATGCGCCCCGCTGAGCTCCCCCAGGAGCTCAGCCCACAGTCCAACAGACCCCCAGTGTGAAAGTAGATACAAGTGTGCACATGCATGCGTGTACGTGGCACCTGCTGGCTCAGGCTGAGACCTGGGGAGGACTAGGAAGGAATAGGGATCCATTCTAGGGACCTTCCAAATATTTTTTTAAAAATCAAATGGAAGCAGCAAGAACCCTGGAGCTGCAGTGAGAGCATGCCATGTGGAGTCCTTGGTCCTCGGTCTTCAGCTTAAGCCAGTTAAATTCCCTGAACCTCAATGTTCTCTTAAGCAATGGAAGCAGCATTGCTCCTCCTGGGAGGTGGTGACTCCAGTGAGCGATGTGTAGGGACGTGCTGGGATGCTGTAATGTCCTGTTTCAGTGGGAGACGGCAGTAATAACAGCCATGAAAATAATAACAACAGTCATAAAAAAAGATAAGCTTGCATTGTCTGGAAAATTCATTTATGTGGAACAACTCATTTTTCGAGCAGGATGGGGAGATGAGGCGTGACAGTATTATGATTTGTTCTAAGTGCTTTTAACTGAGCCCAGAGAAGTGTTCAGGTGGCTACCAGCTGTGCTGAAAGGGAGCCTGCTTCTGCCCTAGGTCCTTGGCCGTGTTCCCCCGCTGCCTGCACATGCAGGTCCCGCCCAGCCCCCACCTCACCTTCTCGCCCTGCATCCTCAGCTGGGATCTCCACGTTCACCGTGTCCCCCCAGATAGGGGCTCTGGTGGGCTCTGAGGTCACAGATGTGACTGCCTTGGAGCTCTGGTTGTTCTTTTCCTCAGATGTGGTTTTCCTGGGGAGAACAGGGGCAGAGTAAGTCAGAGGGAGGGGTCCTGTCTGTTGCTTATCCCCCTTCCAGGCTCCACTGTCCATAAATCTGAGTGAAAGGTGGACAGAACATGGAGAGCTCCTTCCCACACACATGACTCTCATGACATCCCAGGCCCAGGGGACTCCAGGCCTCTCCCCCAGCTCCCCTGCCAGCCCAAGTGACCACACTGTCTTGCTGGCCACTGCTGAGGCCTTCACTCAGACACAGGCCTCTCACTTAGGCTCAGGGCAGGGGTGGGGGTGGGGGTAGATGTCCTCGTGCGGGAGGGCTCTCCAGTTGGTGCCCGCGTGCTCGGCCTTCCTCTTCTCTAGGTTCTGTTTGGTGGGAGGAAGCCTCTAGGCAGGGTGGCTGGGCGGTGCCCCGCCTGGCTGTCCTCTATTCTTCACCTTATTTCCCTAAACTTCTGGCCCAGATTCTAGGCTCCGCCCAGCAATCCCAGTTCTAAATGCTTGTAATGAAGCACGCATATGGTGCCTTCTGTGATGCCTGCTGGTGCAGAGCCGTGGGCTGGGCCCCTGGAGGTGGGCCCCTGGAGCTGGGTCCGGGCCTGGGGGGAGGGGGTGTTGGCAAGGGCTTCCCAGCCCTGCAGCACTCAGATTGTTTAGGATTGGCCTATCCAAGGTGGCGTGTGAGCTTGGGCCCTCTGCATCCCATTGCACCTCACAGGTATCTGAGATGCAGAGCCGTCAAACGGCTCAGGAGAGAGTGAATTCTTCTCCTGTAGAAGAGGTTAGTAGGCCAGGGCCATCTGCAGTGCTGCTCCATTAACTGCAGCAGTCACAGGCTAAGGAGTCATCCCAGAGGTCCTGTAGCAGGGGGAGCCACACCGTACCCCTTGTAGGGGGGAGGCAAGGTGCACAAACGGCACCCCAGGATGGAAGCAAAGATGTCATCCCCACCAGCCCTTGTTCCACCCTCAAGGCCCCCAAAGGGAGAGTGGGGCAGGCCAGTTAGCTGAGATCCCATCTGCTCTGTGCATTTGCAACATCAATGTTGTTCTCCCCAGCCCAGCTTGTTCCTCTCCTCCTGGAAGCCCTCTGGAGCCCCCTGGTCCTCACGCTCCCTCTGTCCTTTAGATTTAAGTGATGCTGTAACCTGGCTCCTTGCCTCCACTCCTCAGAGTCCTGCTCCTGTGGGTAACCATGCTTCGGTGGGTTCCATCCCCCAGCTCCAGGGGTCAACTGAGGACTCCCGCTCTGCTTCGATTGAGAGGCAGTGTGACACAGTGATTGTAACAGGGACCCTGCAGCCAGGCATTTTGAGTTCCAAATCCCAGCTCTACCTACTACCAGCTGTGTGACATTGGGCAAGGTACAGAATCTGTGGTGCCTTACTTTCTTCATCTATAAAACAAGATGGTACCGGTGCCTGCAGGGCTGCAGTGGGAATGAAAGGAATGAATGTGTGTAGTGCTTGGCACGTTGCTAAGTGCCAAGGTACATAATTTAAGGTACATAATTCTTAGTACCTTAAACTATTAAAATATAAATATAATTCCTTGTTATTATCCCATAGCACTGGAGAGCTTAGCCTCATTGACCCTTCTGCGACCTTTGCCCTGGTGTGATTACTCCCCATCATGTCCCCAACTTTGGGACTACAATTGTGGATGTCTGGCTGGCTGCTCTGGCCAAGGTGTGGAATCCTGGAAAGAGCACAAGCTTGGGAGTGACTCAGAGCTGGATTTGGAGTCCACGTTTATCCTGGTGGAATCACCCCTCCTGCATCTAAGTTCCTCCTTTTTCAATAGTACCCCCCTCAGAGAGCGGTTATAAGGACCAGAAAGAAAGCATGTTCAGCTCCCAGCACCCAGGAAGCCCCAGTTCATGTGATGCCCTTGTTTGTGATACAAAACGGCCTGGGCACTTTCTTTCTTTCCTTCCTTCCTTCCTTCCTTCCTTCCTTCCTTCCTTCCTTCCTTCCTTCCTTCCTTCTTTCTTTCTTTCTTTCTTTTTCTTTCTTTTTGAGATGGAGTTTCGCTCTTATTACCCAGGCTGGAGTGCAATGGCGCAATCTCGGCTCATCGCAACCTCCGCCTCCTGGGTTCAAGCAATTCTCCTGCCTCAGCCTCCCGAGTAGCTGTGATTACAGGCTGCACCACCAGGCAGTCTGGGCCTTTTCTTAAGAGGACCTGCCTGATGGCAGCACGAAGGGGAAGGAGGGAGGCGCTGAGTACGAGCTGGAGTGAAAAGGGGCATCTCTCAGACAGCCAGAGTCCTTCTCAGATGAGCGTCCATCCATACACATCACCTCCGCAGGCCCTGCAGAACGTGCTCCTCACGCCTGCAAAGGAGCGTGTGGGAGGCTGCCAGGCTGGAGATGGAGGGCAGAAGCCTGGCAGGGATGATCAGCTTGCTCCCTCTACCCTTAGGTCCCTTTTTCCCTCTGGTTCTGTGACCAGGCTTGACCGAGGGGTGCAATCTAAGCACCTCATACGACACTCTGCATCCGGCTCCCGCTCCTGACAGCTGCCCCAGCAAAGTCAGAGACCTCAGGCTCTGAGCAGCCTCCCTGTGCTACCCAGCCACCCGATCTACTACTTACGGATATATAGTTAGTGCACAATGAGGCCTCACAGCCTCCCTCCTCAGGAACCTGCACAGAAACAGCAGGATGGAAGTGCCAAGGGTGTGTCAGGAGGAAGTCAGTCCTTCTGCACCCAAATGTCAACCCCAGAGCTGGGCACAAAACCTGCACCTGCACGGGCACATTCCTGGGGGATTCCCAGGGATCTTCATGTGGCTCTGTGTGCACAGAGAAGACACAACTGAAGATGTGAAGTCACAGGCAGCAGAGTGACAGGATTCAGGTTGTACCCCATGCCCCATACTTGCCAGCCTGTCTTCTATCCTTGTATCCCCCCAACCCCTGCAAGCTCCTGGGAGGCTGGCAGGAGGAATTAATTCCCAGGTGCAAGGAGGTGGGAAAGGGCCATGGGGCAAGGCAAGGGAGCAGGTGCTGACTTCTCTCCGGCATAGAAACAGTTAAGCAACTATTTTCCTCACCTCCCCACCCCATCTAATACAAGGAAGGTCATCAGGGCTAGGTGAGCACAGATAAAGCAACTGGGTGGGAGGGGGAGGCCCCAGGGGAATGGGGAGGCTTTTATCAGGTGGAGGGGGGCTGTCAGGGTAATGGCTTTTCCTGGCACAGCTGACTCTTCCCAGCCCTGATGCTATTCTAGAATCTGGAGAGCAAGAAGGGCTTCTGATTCTTCACAGAATAAGAGCAGGGGACCAGCTCTCTCCCTGCTCCCAGCCCCCATTCTGCACCCTGCAGATGGGCATGTGGCTGAGTTCTAGGTCCCCAGGTTCCCTTGGGGCTCCCAATGCAGTCTTAGAGCCCAGGAGAGCTCTCCAAGATCCACCCCCATAGGCCTCTTCTCAGGCTGTCTGCAAGGAGAGACCTCCCTCCCGTCCCCCCAAAGACCTGCCCTGTTGGTTTGGACCTGCTAGCTCCAGACATTCAGGGCCAGGAGGAGCTAATGGGTGATGTCTGCTGTCTCAGGGCCAGATTTAATCCAGCCACAGCCTGGGCAGCCATGCCAGGATAGGACTGGAATTGGGTTTAGAGGTGCAGTGCAGCAGCCCTGAGACCAACCTGCAGGAAAATGTAAACCACCTTCAACCTGGCGGACCCGCCAGGTACCGTATTTTCTTCATCTATAACAGGAGATGGTAACAGGCTACTGGAAGTGTGTGTGTCTTTGACAAACTCCAGTCCCTAGCCAGGCATTTCTGGGGCTCCCACCCTAGCAGGGAGTGAGGGGGCCAGGCCCAAGCACATCTGTGAGTGGGAGGGAACAAGGACTTTGCTTTCCTTCTGCAAGGTCACGACTAAGGGAAAATGTGTCATCTGGTTCCTGGGGGCTGCAGCGGTGAGGAAAAAGTGAGCAGGGGAAAAGCACGGGACTTGGTGGAGAGAAAGCAAGAGTGCTCATGAGCCACTTTCTCCCTCACCCCAGGGGATACACACACATCCACACATGCACACGCACACACACGCACACAAGTGCATGCACACACACATCTGTACATGCACAAAAGCTTCCCAGAGAGGTGTGAGTACCATACTCTACCCACCCTCTAACCTGCCAGCCCTCAAGCTGCCTCCGGGGTCTTCTCTTCACACCTGAGCCCACCTGCCCCACCTGCCCTGCCTGTCCTCTTGGCCTTTGACTCCCCTCAAAGCCTCAAAGCAGGAACACTAGTCAAGGCCTGACCTCCTCCTGGGCAGAGCTTCAGAAGGCAGGGCACAGGTGGTCTGGCTTGTTTTGAGTGCCAATCCCAGGACTGCCACCAGGAGAGCAAAGGAAAGAGGAGGGCACCGACTCAGGTCTGCTGTGGCTGCCGGGGTCCTGGCTGGGCAGGCTTATAAATCCTAAAAGGCTAGAGGGATGTTCCCAGAAGCACCTTGGGAGGGAAGCTGTCAGGCAGGCACTGAGAAGGATGGATAAAGAGCAGATCTTGACCGGGCGTGGTGGCTCATGCCTCTAATTCCAGCACTTTGGGAGGCGGAGGCGGGTGGATCAACTGAGGTCAGGAGTTCAAGACTTGCCTGGTTAACACAGTAAAATCCCGTTTCTACCAAAAATACAAAACATTAGCCAGGCGTGGTGGCATGCGCTTGTAATCCCAGTTACTCAGGAGGCTGAAGCAGGAGAATCGCTTGAACACGGGAGGCAGAGTTTGCAGCGAGCCAAGTTGATGGACTAGGAGGTCTTAAGCCCCTTTGACCTGGTCTATCATAGCCCATTGCTGGCTCTCCTGGGAAACCCAGAGGGAGGTAAGGGAATTGGCAGTCCTCCAGGCCAGCTGTCGGATGTCATGGTGGGGCCTCCGTCTTTCCTGAGAAGGTAGGGCAATTCCCCTCTACCTGCTTCCTCCATGCCAGCTTCTGAGCCAGGGAGGCCTGCCTCCTTCCTCCATAAGTCCAAGAGGCAGCCAGACTCCCAGGCCATA